TGAGCGAAAACTACAGGCAACAATGCAGCAACTTCCATCGAAATTCTCAGGTACAACACGTCTACTTGCCTTTATTACAAATGAAAATTGACGAAACAGTGAAACAGGAAATCGCTTTAAAGTTTTATTTGGAGTAATTGGGTCGCGTGCACCCTCATTCAGTTTGTTTTAGTGCGTACTTCAGATTTCCTACATGTAAAGAGTGGTGTTTGAAGGTGTAACAACTGGCTTTCATTAGCTATAAATTAATATTGAATTTTTCTTTGCACCGCTAATTAGTGTCCACTTTTACAACCCCTTAATCTGGTGCTCAAGTGTTGACTGTAGAGGAATCCGAAAAGGAAATTAATGGAGGGCAGGGGTTGGCAAAGAGCCTCGAGGGGGTAATTCTTGACAAAAATGAGAATGGAGATGTCTGAGGGAAGAGGGTAAAAATTGCTGTCTGAATCATTTGCGATTTAGCTCGACTGTGCCTGGATCAGTGTGTGTTTGACTGAGCTACTCCCTGAAGGAGCTTTAGCGCAGAGAGAGAGAGGGAGAGGGAGAAGGAGAGAGGGAGCCTTGCGCGACAGACCGACGGACCGCCAGTCCGTCTATCTATCCAGCTGCCCTGCCTCTGCAGAAGCGCGCAGGCATAGACAAAACGCGAAATCACACGCACGCACATCCACGTGCACGTCAAGAGAGAACGAGAAAGTGAGAGAGAGCGGGTCCCATGCACGCTTTGCAGGCTTCCGGAGCTTCTACTGTAGTACTCAATGTGCGTGTGCGTCTCTGTGTGCGTCCGGCGGCTGCTCACCTGCCTCTTCCTCTCCTAACCCGGGACGGGAATAACGGGATACCGGGAGCTGAGATCACACCGAGGCAGGTTGAGCCCCCCCACAATGCGCGGGGCCAACAGAGATTGCAGTGGAGAATCCGCGGTAGGCGCAATGAAGATTGGATTACAACAACAGTGATTTTATTCGCAGCTGCGCGCCTACGAAGTGTTGCATCGGGGGATTTCATTCAGTTTTTTGGGACACGGTGGAAATAATTCATCGCCAGTGATTCCGTGATTTTTCTTCTTCTCCTACTCCTGTTGTGCAGTGTGTTCTGTGAGTGTGATCCCCGTCAGAGGCTGCATGGTTTCTCAGAGGAGAGAGGGGACTGTTGCAATGTCATCTCGCACCACTGTTTTGGAGCTCTGTGGAAGGGAGATGCTGTAAGTACTTTGTCGTGTCCGTTAATTCCCCCATACATTTGGGTTGTGTTGATCTTCCACCGTCTCTGTCTCTCTCTCTTGCCCCCCTCTCTCTCCTTTGATCGTCGGGCACCGTGCGGGTTTACCCACAGGCGTCCCTTATCCAAAGTGCGGCACCCACATCGCGGAGCGCAGCTCTCCCCAAAACACGAGGAATGTAATCGTTGCGAGGCACGCAGTATGAAATGCGAAGGAAACACATCAAATTATCTTCTCTCAGCTCAAGTGTTTTCATAATTTCCTCATAATTCATAAGGCTGGTGCAGTGAGCGCAGAGCAGGCTGCTTCAAAGCGCATCTGTAAATGCAGCCTCTCTCAGCCGGCACACGCTAAACACGTTTATCCCTTTACTATGAATTCACCCAAAAACTCACTATAGGATTAAAATAAACGTGCCTCCTTTGTTAGTTTGGCACATACACTCAACATCCCCCCCCCCCCAATTATTAGTTAGTATAGCCAACAAACGATGTGAATATTTTAACAAAAGTGTTTTTACGCACCAAAAATATTTTTTTTGCTCGCTGGTGTTTTATATCAAGACACATTGCGGGGGTTTCGCTTGCGCCACTGTTTGGAACAACTTCTCCATCCCATATAAGGATGTGTAGTTTATGGAGATCTGTTAAGAATGCAACGCGTATTTTGAAAGTTATAATCACATTTTGGGTGAAAACGTTGCGCATGTTCCCCCCCTCCCCCCGTAACGTGACAGAAAGTGAACACCGGGTTTGCCCTACTAAAAAAATATATATTTGTAAGTAGCGTCTTGGCCAAGATGCAGGAGGCAGGCAAGCGCTGTACCAGTAGGGGTCGCACTTGTATTGTGTTGGTCCCCTTTGAACATAATGGGGAGATCCAAATGAATGTACATCTCCTCTTCCACCCCTCTCCCTCTCTCCTGTTCTTAGGATCCAGTCACGTTGTTGAAAATTATGAAAAAACCTCATACCTTCACACACACATGCAGATTGAGGGCCGCAACTGTACACTGTAATCAATGTGCCTTTATAGATTGCTTCCGTTTACTATTTAGCAAAGGTTTGTGTGTGTGTGTGTGTGTGTGTGTGTGTGTGTGTGTGTGTGTGTGTGTGTGTGTGTGTGTGTGTGTGTGTGTGTGTGTGTGTGTGTGTGTGTGTGTGTGTGTGTGTGTGTATGAGAAGTGTTTTCACACTCTATGTTGCCCTCTATACAGCAGTATCTCATGGAGAAAAACACACAATGAGTATAGAAAAAAAAATAGTTAAGATTTTGTGTGTGAGAGAGAGAGGTGTACTGTAATACATTTTTAAATATATATATTTACATATACCAATAGCACAGTGTTGAAGTTAGTCACTCTTGAGGATACTTTGTCTAAAAAGGGGTTAAAATCAAGTGCCGAACAGATTGCTCCTGCAAAGGCTGCACCGCTCTGTTTCAAATTCATCAGAACCGTTCATGGCTGAATAAAGTCTGAAATCACCTCAGAGGTGGCTTCAGAGAAAAAAAAAATCCCTTCCTGTTGGACTGAGACAGAAACTGCAAGACAATAAGCTCACTTTGTTTCCTGTTGCCACGAAGCAACGCAGACGCTTAACAAATACCTCGTCGACCTACTTCCAACCACCCCGAGTGACGACGTGTAATCAGCTTGTATTATAATAATCATCATCATTACCTTTAATTGATCCACTCTTCTTCTTAATATACTTCAGCAACATGCATACATGTCCTGCCAATAAAGCAAATTGAAATCAGAAGAGTTCTTAAATGAACCCCCTGCATGCTAATGAAGCAGATCTGACTGATGCAATTTGCACGAAAGGAAGAAATAAGAGAGTGTAGCATGAAACACATTCTTCGGATTGACTGTGTGTTGGGTATCAGGTGCAGGGAGAGAAGACACACTGGCACACAAAGAGAAACACTGTTCACACCTATTATATAAGAGAATGCTAGTGGTCTCTTTCTTTCTTTGTTGGTCTCACACACACACACACACACACACACACGCACACGCACACACACACACACACACACGCGCACACGCACACGCACACACAACACACACACACACACAGACAGAGGGTTAGTCGGGAGCTGGAGAGGTATGTGCAGTGGGCAGACAACATGTTGAAGCCTGAGTGGTAGCAGACGATTACTTCCACTGGGCCTTCTCATGGGTGCTCATGCACACGTCAGGGCGCACAGAGCAGATGGCCGGGGCCTGGGAGAGTGGGAGAGAGAGATGGAATAGCTGGGAGGAAAATGGATTAGAAGAGGACCGAGCTGAACAAGTAAGAGGAATGTCAGAAGAGGCGTGGAGCAGACTGGGGTTCGTTCAAGGGACAGTCCGGCGAAGTTGAGCAACTCACCATTGAATAGAAGCTGGCAGAGGTTGAGATAGTCTGACTTTTAGTTTCCTTTTTGTTCAACTCTAACGCACTGGATTCTTTATCCCTGTAATGAGTCTTGATAACGACTTGTGTTGGAGCTCCCAGACGG